AACAAAACAGTCGTGTGAGTTCCGCAACTTAGTTTCCATCTCTGTGGTTTCACTTTTGAGTTGCTCGTTTAACTCTTCGTTTTGCCTTTTCAGTTGCTCGTTTTCTCTCGCATATCTGTCCCGCTCTTCTTCGGCAGCTCGTAGGGGTCCTTCAACATCGTGACAGCGACGCTCTAGGTCAAAGCACGTATCCTCGATCTTTCTCATCATATTGTCGTGAGAGGTCTGGGCATTCTGCATGAACAGCTCAGTCACTCCAGAGCGCCAATTACGGTTCACTTGGGTCGAAGGAAGCTCATGTCTGTCGCGCAAGGCGAAAGAGCCACGGAAGGCTTTGGGGGTTGTTGTTGAGAAGGCACAGTCGAGGCTCGGCATTGATTGCTCTACTCGTCTGATGAATGTTTGCACGATAATGTCGCTTCCGCATTGCGCCGACGCCACGTTGTAAAGTCCCAATAGAGATAGGAACAGCCTGTTCTGCTTTGTGTATAGCTCGGATGTACGCCATGCTCGACCACTGCATTGGCTTTCGCTTGGCTGTCGAGGAAAGTATTCAACCATCTCCCCAAGCACTTCCCTCATAGGGACCATGGAATGCTTGACATTAGAAAGCATGATATCGGCATGTACTTCTTGCACACCAGCTAATACCAAGTGTGCCAGGTGCAGTGTTATGATCTCTGCCCCCGTGCATTTACTACCTTTCAAGACATCGAACGTAAAGGCCAAAAGTTGACGAGTGGCATGTTCCCCAGATTCCTATTGATATCAGCTGTCAAAATCTGCCCATGAACAGGAGCTCCTATACTTACTGCTAAAGACTTCGCGAGGCGTGGAATCAGTTGATGGGGTACCGTCTCAATAGTCTGTTGGCTATTCTTGGACAAAAGGACCTTTATGCCAACTTCCCGTAGCTGGGATGGCAATGAATGTGCCGGGAGAAGTGTGTGCAAGAAGACAATTACCTATCATCAAGTAATTAGTATTTCGTCTCGACGGGAACAGCCAATACTAACCATAGTTTGTGTTTGACTATAGGGAACGTCTTTGACAGCCTTCTCGCACAGTTTAGCAATCTTGGGATTATTACCTGCCATCCAAGCTTGTTTCTGCTCAGGCTCAATTGCGTCCGCTATGCAAATCGCCAGCCGAATACTCTCGGCCGCCTCGGACGGCGCCAGATTACAACTGGATGAGCAAGCTAGTATAACGCGCAATACGACCAAGTCAAGTGTTTTGAGGCCCCGTTTCTGGCCAAAGAAATGCTTAATGCTCAGTAGCCATGGCATTTCTGATCCATGTTGAGTTTGAGATGTTGTATCCAGTGCTGTCGCGATTTGCGCGAAGGTTGCCAGACACAAAAGGTTGCCCATATGATCGTCGAGGTTGCGCAGTGTCTTAGTGAACTCCAGCTGAAGATTGGACATGACCTCGGACGGAATGTCATTCAAGATTCTTGGCGAGCCTTTGAGTCCTGAGATGAGTGTGTGAAGAGGTGCTACAGTTTTAACACAGGGATTTGCTGCCATCAGGCTGACAAGCTTCCTGATGAATGGGGCAACCCTAGCTGGCGGTACAAGACTCGCTGGCAGGGGCGATGAGAATAACGCGATACATGCCGGAAGATACTGAACTAGTTAGCTGACGCCCTTCGGCTAGCATTTGTTGCTAAGAACGAAGCTCACCTCATCCCCATTAGTGTCCACTGCCTTTTCTAAGAAGGCATCCAAAATCACCGGATGTCGCTCAAGCAGCGCATCCCTAAAAGCCGATGATGTAGATGCTATAGTATGTCAGAGTCGAATTCCAACAAGACTTCCATTAAGCCAGCACAAACCGAATGCAGTGATCAGAGGCAGCGCGACGAGTGACCGCGATAAGGCTTCAATCAGAACATCAGCCAACAAGCCAACTTGGCAGGGTTTACACAATGCCCAGGTGCCAATTGTCGAAGATTTGGTGTGCTGCACCAAATCATAGAGATCCTAGTATTATCAGTATGTATACTCCAATGAAAGTCTCAACCGACCGACTTACCTGTAACGAAGGCACGTAAGGCGCGGTGACTAGGCGTTCTACCTCGCACACTAGTTGAGCGAGTTGCTCTGCCATAGCTTCACGATTTGCATAGATGTTAGTTTCGTGGATTTGGTGGACTGTACGCGATGCATCTGAATTGTAAGGTTGATGTTGTGAGGTTCTCTACCCCCCTCGGTTGCCCCGTCAACCATTGACACCTTAAATTTTCTACCTTTCTCTCCGTTCAGTGTCTTATTAGTTACATATATATAGTCAGACATATATTCTTGAAAGAGGATTCAACTGTGAACGCAACGTACAGTAAATATGTAAGTGCAGCTGTAGAAAAGGAAGAATCATGGAGTAGATGATCCCATAGTAAATCCTGACCGCCTGGCTCACCGCCGGACTTTATTGCTTGTTCTGTAGGGCAAAACCTTCGAATTACTTGCTCGATGTCTATATCGTGTCCTTTTTATGAATCTTTTCAGCCATTCTATCCTCGGGAGGAAATTTAAATCAATATGGAGCATTAGACTTCCTTTACCTTTTGATTCAGTATAAATACTTTACAATTATTATACTGCAGGCAGAACATTTGGCGGCAGCTACCGCTCACCGGAGTTCGCACGCAACTCCGTTTCTGTTCCTATTCGCCCCCACGTTCGGCTCTTCTCCACATCTTCGGTAATGAGAAGATGGCCAGAGAGTGAAATTATAGTGGATTATGGCATTATGAAGGACCAATCTAACTGCTTTTCTCGGCCGAAGTCCGAGGTGCAAGGTCAAGGTACAAAAGGCTGATCACCTCATGCTCGCATATCGAATTCTTTCTTCCCTTTTCACAACAGCTCCTAAGGTTTAATCCTATAATATCTTCTAATCGTCCACAATGCGACCAGTCCTCCGGGTCTCACGAGGGCTACCGGCTCCGATTTGTCGGCCTCAGGTCTCGCGCGCTATTGTAGCTCGCGGTGCTAGACTGAACAGTTCCGATGCTGGGAAAACAGAGCACACAAAAGAGAGCAATTCCTCATCTACGAACGCTCCGCCCTCGCCCTTTTGGACCCCCGCCAAGGCTTTACTCGTCTCCGCATTTGCTGCGGGGTTAGGCTACGGCGTCTCCTCATATACTCAGACACCGACACAGACCTCCAAGAAGCCACAATATGGCTCAGTGAAGGATTTTGAAAAGGTAGATCATTCAATTGCAACAGCGTAATCTCGCACCAGTCCAGGACTATTCAAACTAACAACACCCCAGGCCATCAACGAGCTAAGAGCAAAGCTCGGCGAGGACGCAATCAGCACCGAGCAAGACGAGCTCCACCAACACGGCTTCTCAGAATGGTCCAGCCTAAATGCTGACCGTCTTCCGGTCGCAATTGCATACCCTAAGACCACCCAAGAAGTCTCCGAGATCGCCAAGATATGCAACAAATACCGCATGCCCATGATTCCCTACTCGGGCGGATCGAGTCTGGAAGCCAATTTCTCCGCCCCGCTCGGCGGCATGACAATCGACTTCGCCTTCATGAATAAGATCCTAGAAATCCACCCAGACGACATGGACATCGTCGTGCAGCCCTCCATTCAATGGATGGATCTGAACGAGAAGATCAAGGATACAGGCATGTTCTTCCCTGTCGACCCAGGCCCATCTGCCATGATTGGCGGTATGGTTGGCACAAACTGCAGTGGCACCAACGCCGTCCGTTACGGCACTATGAAGGACTGGGTGATTAACCTCACGGTCGTCCTAGCTGATGGCCGCATCATCAAGACCCGCAGACGTCCGCGCAAGACTTCCGCCGGCTACAATCTCACCGGCATGTTTGTTGGCTCCGAGGGTACGCTTGGTATCGTCACTGAAGCTACTTTGAAGCTCGCCCCGCTCCCAGAGCAGACTCGCGTTGGAGTTGTCGCGTTCCCGACTATTCGTGATGCGGCCTCAACTGCTATGCAGGTCATTCGGAAGGGTGTCTCTGTGCAGTGCATGGAGATCATGGATGATGTTCAAATGGACGTTATCAATCGCGCGGGTGGAACGGGCCGTGAATGGAAGGTCTCTCCTACGCTGTTCTTCAAGTTCTCGGGAACTGTCGCCGGTGTCGCGGATAGCATCGATCTGACGACGAAGCTCGCCAAGAATAACAATGCGCAGTCTGTTGAATTCGCTCGTGATGACCGCGAAGCTCATGACCTGTGGTCGGCGCGAAAACAGTCGCTGTGGAGTATGTTGGCGCTGCGCAAGGAGGGATCAGAAGTCTGGTCGACTGATGTGGCTGTGCCCATTTCTCGACTGCCTGATATCATTGGTATGGCCTCTTCAAGTTTGACTTCATTGCATGTATACTGACTCCTGCCAGAAATTTCTAAGAAGGAATTGGTCGACCTCGGTCTTTTCGCCAGTATCCTTGGCCACATCGGCGATGGAAACTTCCATGCAAGCATTATGTATGACCGCACCGATCCTGCCGAGAGGGCGCGGGTCGAGAAAGTAGTGTACGACATGGTCGATCGTGGGCTAGAAATGGAGGGCTCTTGCACGGTAAGTCGTTCATATTGGAGAGACCGGAATATCAGCTAATTCGGTACTACAGGGCGAGCACGGCATTGGGCTGGGCAAGAAGGGATCTTTGAAAAAGGAAGTTGGACCGGACACAATTAATGTCATGCGCAGTATCAAGCGCTCATTGGATCCGAAATGGCTGCTGAACCCTGGCAAGATCTTCGACTACGACGACGAGACACCGGGCCCAGGACATTGATTGTGATTTAGCATTACTCCTTAGCATTATACACCTTACAAAAGAATATACCTCTGAAGGCGGGCTCCGGGAACTTCAAGACGGAGTACATCGCATCATCATATTACTACTTCCCTTTGGAAAGTCGCTTTAGAATCGGCATTATGGTGATAAGATCAATATCAAAAGAGCTAAATAACACAGGACTAAAAGCATATGTCATTCTATCCGATGCCGAAAATTTCTCAAGCACCAAGATACAAGTATTCTATTAGTACTTTATCTACAGCGCAGCAAACCAAAAGGAATCCTATTTGAAGACGTTGCGTAAGGGTCAAGAAATTCGCCATATCACAGGCCGAAGAAAGAATGCAAACAAGCCAAACCCTTGGACATTAAACTTTGACTGAAGACCCACATATCCCAGCCAATCGGGGAGTAGTACACTTGTCCGGATGTAGACCGCTGACTAATCGCGGGGCAAGGCAATTGGCTGAGAGCGATATCGCTGTCGGAGTGAAATGTTACAAGCCTTCAACCACATCACCCGTTAAGCGGTAAGTACAATCGTGTTTCATATTGATATTTTATTATGAAAATCCCCTGCGACTCTGAGCCATGTGGTCAGTGAGGTATTGAAGCCGGCAGAGCCTCGTATATACTGCCTGCGGGGCTCTGGGAACGCTTTGACTCATACAGGTCATGATTCGACATGGAACCCTTGTTCTTCTATATATGTTTTGATTGATCGCTAGTTTTGACTTGGTGGAACTTTTCTTTGCTAACTTACGCAAGATTTATACCCGTCTTCATATAAAAACTCAAAAGCAAAATGGCTCCTTCATTCCCAAAGAAGAAGTGCGGTACGGCCTCAAATTTTTACAAGATATTCCATGCATCGTTCAGTCTAACATGTTACAGGTGTTCTCGGTGCCACTGGCTCTGTGGGCCAGCGCTTCATCCTATTGCTGGCAGACCACCCCTTCCTTGAGCTTCAGGCCGTGGGTGCTTCTGAGCGTTCAGCCAACAAGAAGTACAAGGATGCCGTGAATTGGAAGCAGGCTTCTCCCATGTCTGAGAAGCTCAGCAACTTGATCATGCGTGACTGCAAGCCCGAGCATTTCTCAGATTGTGACCTTGTCTTCTCTGGACTGAACAGCGATGTTGCTGGCGAGACCGGTATGTGATATCAGGTTTAACAAACTAGACCCGGCACTGACATTTCACGCAGAAATGGCATTCATTAAGGCTGAGATCCCTGTTTTCTCAAATGCAAAGAACTTCCGCAAGGACCCTATGGTGCCTTTGGTGGTTCCCACTGTGAACCCCCAACATCTTGATCTGATTCCTCACCAGCGCGAGCATTTCGGTCTCAAGAAGGGCTTCCTGGTCTGCAATTCTAACTGCGCTGTTATTGGTATCGTCATTCCCTTCGCAGCTCTCCAGGCCAAGTTTGGCCCTGTCGAGGAAGTTGAGGTTTTCACTGAGCAGGCCGTCTCTGGAGCTGGCTATCCCGGTGTACCCACCATGGACATCCTAGACAACGTCATCCCCTACATCAGCGGCGAGGAGGACAAGCTCGAGAACGAAGCACAAAAGATTCTGGGTTCACTGAATGCCAACGCCACCGGCTTCGACGAGCAGACTGGTCTCCGCATCGGTGCCACCTGCACCCGTGTTGGTGTCACTGACGGCCACATGGCATTCGTTTCCTTGCGTTTCAAAGACCGCAAGACCCCAACTGCCGAGCAAGTCAAGGAGGCTCTGCGGGAGTACAAGTCCGAGGCACAGAAGTTGGGTGCTCCTTCCGCACCGGAGCCCGCGATTAAGGTGTTCGATGAGCCCGACCGTCCCCAGCCCCGCCTGGACCGCAACATCTGCGGCGGTTACACAGTGAGTGTGGGCCGAGTTCGTGAGGGTGCCCCAGGCGGTCACTTTGATATCCGATTCGCTGCCCTCTCTCACAACACTGTCATTGGAGCTGCTGGGTCATCCATCCTCAACGCTGAGGTCGCTGTTATCAAGGGCTACATTTAAATTGGATACGGAAAAGTGGAATTATCAGCGCATGTCAAATAGATACAAATTTTCGTACAAATGAATTAGATCTCATTGGTCTCGATTTCTAAAGGGGAAATTCACGTGTCCACGGGTGGATCAGGGCCCCGAACGGAGATGACATAAGCAAGTGCTAAAATCCCACTAGTGGAGTCTGATTGGTCGGAGTGGAGAATAGGGCTCACAATCACCACACACTAAGCGAATTCCTCTCTGATTTGGATCACCACTTCTCGGCTTGAGCCTTCTCTTTCGACACTCCGACCACCTAACCTTCAGTCGACAAATCAGTCAAAATGCGCGGCCCGTAAGTATCATGAGATCGCCCTCTACATCACTATTCAGCACACTGGTTTCGTCTATCTGCCGGATTGCGAGTTCAGCCAGTCCCTGCGAGAGTGATCAAAAATTTCTCGAAATGGAACACCATCACTAACAAGAATGTCTTTTGCAGCGGAAAGCACCAGAAGCGCCTCAGTGCGCCCTCGCACTGGCTCTTGGACAAAATGTCCGGAACCTATGCGCCCAAGGCCTCCCCCGGTCCTCACAAGCTCCGGGACTGCCTTCCTCTGATTGTCTTCATCCGTAACCGGTACGCACGCGACACCTTGAATATCTCGACACGCGACGAACAATCACTAACATCTCTTTGCTGATAGTCTCAAGTACGCCCTGAACGGTCGCGAGGTCAAGGCCATCATGATGCAGCGTCTGGTCAAGGTTGACGGCAAGGTCCGCACCGACACCACCTACCCCGCTGGATTCATGGACGTCATCTCCCTCGAGAAGACCGGCGAGCACTTCCGTCTCATCTACGATACCAAGGGCCGTTTCACCGTCCACCGCATCCAGGCTGAGGAGGCTGAGTTCAAGCTCTGCAAGGTCAAGCGTGTTCAGCTCGGCAAGGGCGGGATCCCATTCTTGGTTACGCACGATGCGCGAACGTGAGTTCCACACTCCACAAGTTCCGTGTCATTCAGTCGTTGGACCAAGCTTTGGTTGATCGGCGGAGGACAATGGAAACAGTAAGATCCCATTAGATCAGGACATGGTTTTGCTAACTTGCGTTTGTGCTCTACAGCATCCGCTACCCCGACCCTGCCATCAAGGTCAACGACACCGTCAAGGTTGACATTGCCACTGGCAAGATCCTTGACTTCGTCAAGTTCGATACCGGTGTTGTCATCATGGCCACTGGTGGTCGTAACATGGGTCGTGTTGGTGTCATCACTCACCGTGAGCGTCACGACGGTGGTTTCAACATCGTCCACGTTCGCGATGCTCTTGACAACCAGTTCGCTACCCGTGAGTCCAACGTCTTCGTCATTGGACAGGAGAAGCCTTGGGTTTCCCTCCCCAAGGGCAAGGGTGTCAAGGTATGTTATATTCCCTAATACTGTGTGTATATGAATTACCCTAACATTCTTTTCTAGCTCTCCATTGCTGAGGAGCGTGACCGCCGCCGTGCCCACGAGCTCGCTAACTAAATTCGCAATATCTTCTGATATCGTGAATTAGCTGACAGCTTAAAAACAAACAAAAACAGTAGCTGGGAAACGGCGTCTTGTCTTGCTTGACGGGCTTTGATAATGCATTCTCGTAGGTTCGAACCATAGCAAACAAACCAGGAACGGGTTAACCGCTTCGTTTCCGAGTGATATGATACCATTTGACGTTACCTCTTTCGAATATTTAATGACCGTATTTACTTTATTCCCTGGATCTTCAACACTTCCACCTATTTCTGGATGATCTGCTCTTTTTTCTCTCCATCATGGCTCATGAAGATCCAGGGACACGTAAATTTCCTTTCCTATCTGTACTTTGTAGTCAACATGCGAATGCATCGGAACCGCAGATGCTACTACGGCGCGAAGCCTACTTGCACCAATCCAGCTCGTCTGTACCAAAATTTACTACTACAAACAAACCCCCGGCTGAACCCGCCCAAGCCGTTTCAAGCTGAAGATCTGAGACATGCATCATCCCGCTCAGGAATATATTGCCTACATACATACTCATCTCCGGCGCAACCCCGTTAGCCCGAATCGATCAATCCACAGCACCAGCGCATCACCGCACCTCGGCTTATCCGATGCAACGGTCCTCCCGTGTCGGACCCGTGTCGGTGTGCGTAGTACACGTAAGGCGAGCGCGGAGATTGCTTACATACTGAGATGGCGATCAGAAAACTCAAGTCTGGATCTTCTCGACTGGTGTTTCAATCCGCATGCTTACGCATTATTATTGACCCGAATCGCGCTATAGCAGACCGAGTATCACCTCCAGACGTCAGTACTGGCGATCAGGGCCATCATGGACTTGGATGGGGATTGACATGCACGTGCTGTGTGCTCTGTGATGAAAATCGAGGTGTGTCCCGCATGTGGAGCTAGCTCATGCAACAGCGATGTGGAGTTATCGCAGATTTGCCCTACCACCGGCCGTGCGTAGAACTTGGTCTTTTGTTTAGTACATCTATACATGGATTGTTTGGGTTTGACAGGGGTATTTGTGGAGAAAGTTAGGTACATATATATATCTACACTGTTGTTCTGAATATATATCTGAAGGAATAGTGAGAGCGGGTCAAGAGTCTAAGAATAACTCACTCATTTCCGGTGTCGGATTAGGGATCCTCCCATTCTCTTCCGGATGGGCTGTTCTTACGTTGGAGCGGCTCGAGGAAAAGCAATGGCCTTATGGAATCGGCGCTTGTTCCGTTCAATCCGGACGCACCTACCACATCATCCCGAGTGATCACAGGGAAAGAAAGCAAGGGCTGAGATAGCCAAATGTCTCGCGCATCCAGTCATTGGAAGTATATTCTCTCTGTTAAATTTCCCGGGCAACTTATCATAGTGAGAGAATAGGATAATCAGATAGATCCAAACTCAATCCTGGTAGTCGGCCGTGCCACGTTCGGATCGTCTCCACTGAGGATACGGAGGATAATATATCCGTGTTCCAAGCGCCATCCAAAATATGCACAGCATGTGGCTGTAGGATGGATTCCTGACCCGTCATTTTATGCACCGTGGAGACCGATCAATTGGCCTTTCCAAGGTTGTAGGGGTGGATTCAAGGAAATGGTCAAGGTGAGGTGGTAACCAAGTGGGTAAGGGGGATCTTGGCTTGATGCATTCTGGGTGGTTGGGTGGCTGGCTGTACTGGCTAATATGTTAGCATTTGTCATGGAATTTGGAATCTGAGCTACACAAGACGCACAATGTATTTATTATCTGGGGGATGCAGGACAATGCAGTTGTGGATTCTCCTTAAGTGGGGACCCACTTGGAATGTGTACTTTTGTTCAATGTGCAACCAATCAAGCAAGCTCGTATATGTCGTTGGTGATATCAGGCGACGGAAGTAGAGTCTGCAAGTCCATGCTGCATGTAGAGTAGGAGGCTATATATGTGGCTAGTCATGTGGTTTTCTGGGAAATGCGAACGTTGGGCCTAGAACGTATTAGTACTAGTGGCTCGCTCTAGCATTCCCTGCATATGCTCTAATTATTATAGATGGGGCCTTGGATAAATCAGATCTCAAGTTAAACTCGGAAACTCAGAAACTCATAGACTCACGAACTAAACTCAGGGACATCACCATTTTATAAGACACTCCCCACAAACTTTGGCGTGGGTCTACCGAGATCCGTCCCAGTTCCGAGGAACTGGGTCTGAGAATCTTGGGATTTCACGTGGTGAGGTTGGGAACTGATTGGACTGGAGAATATACCCATCGTAGAATTTCTTA